GCTTCCGCGGGGAGAGAGAGAGGTCTAAATAATAATAATTTCTAATTACTTTATTCAAAAGTAATTCAAAGTCTGTTCGAGATATTCTAGTAAAGTTTTTGAATAATATATCATCTAATTATTTACACAATGAAAATTGCGGCCAAAAACGATTGCACCCAGATACGCCTATTCCTTTCTATCTTTTTTGTTTTTGATTAATGATGAAAAAAGCGCTACAAGCCGCCGCAGCAAAAACAATGTCGTCCATAGCGAGCGAATACTGAATTGCTCGTGTAGGACAGTATTGCCTAGTTGATGAAGTTGCGCCATATCGCTCAATATTGTATTGCGCAGTATTGATGCTTGTTGCCGTTGCCGTAAATTGCTTGATGTAGTCGTGACGTCATAGTTGACGAGTATTGACTGGAATTGAGCAATTTTAGTTGCCCGTGTAAGCGCACCTTTACGATTTTTTGCTATTCTAACATATCGTAATCTGCATTTCAATTATATTTTCTCGTTTTATATATTCGTTATAATTCATATGAAACGCGTTATTCGCGTCGAAAATATAAACGCAATCTTCAATGTAAATAAAACTTTGCTGTCGTCAATAGTTTGTAAAGTTAACAAAGACTGCCAGCAAAAGTTACCAACAAACTAGTACTTCAGTTATAATATTTGTATTTTAACCGTTAGCGTTGTTCACTAAGTTTTATTGTCATTTGATATAATATGTACTTTGTAAACAACTTTTCAAATACTAATAATCAGTCAAATTGCATTACATTATCTCAAAATTGTATCTGGGCTTCGATGAAAAGAGACAGATGAGTACTCTAAGTAAAGGTGTTTTTAACTTATTTAGTTTTTTTAATAAGGAGGTTAACAACACATCAGTAATTTACAAAAGTATAGTATATATCCCTTTAGAGATGCTATTGACCTAGTACAATGGAACGCAACGCAACACTATTCGGAGTGATGTGACAATGGACATGGAATAGACACATTGTAAGGAATTGAGAAATTGAGCACCGAACGGAATATGGCATAAAGGAGATAGGCTTACAAAACGATTGATTGCCAATTTAAAGAGCAAAAAATTCAGAATGAATTTAGTTTAAGAGCAAAGTTGGCCTAGTGGTTTAAGCATGCGACTTCCAACCCCGGTCGACCAATGAAATTTTCTTTCAATGTACCCAATGAACACTTGCTCCAACAGTGAACGCAAACATCGTGAGAAAACACAAATATCGATAATATGTGTCAGATAGAAATATTGTCTATAAAAATGATCAGAAAACAGATACAATCTGAGATATAGAAATGTAGCCCTAGGATTATTATTATTTTCTTCAAATAAGGTTTTCTATATATGTTCATTGTTTTATGTACATACATGTTTCTACGTATAGGTTTGGTAAATAAAATCCTATCTAACACAAAAAGTGTCTTCATACAAAATAATCAATATCAAATTGGGTCCAATTTACAAAGAGTTGATTTGAGGAAAATTATATTACATAAAATTAATAAATATATTAAACTAGGTCATATTGTTATTTATTATATTAAAAAAATCTAATAAATACTATCAATATTTTCTGAAACCCACTTACCAACTAATTAATTATAACGAGGTGAAATCCCAATCATTCCTATAAATATCATGATTTTATTGATTTTATCATTATTTTGGTGGAATATTGCATCAAGAGATAACCTTAAAATGAGACTGTTAAATTTTATCCTATCATTAATAGTATTAGTATTTATTTTTGGGCACAGTGAAGGAAATCCCAAAATTAATTGGAATGCAATCAAAAAAGGCGGGAAATATGCAGTAAGTATTACAAAAACAGTTTCGATATTTATTTTTTACGTTACTTTAAATATTTAAAGGAAAGCATAATTATTTGCAAAGAAACGCGATGGCGTTGATTAAAAACTATTTACATCAATATATCAAGAATAAATTAGTCGCTATCCAGTGAAGAGGCGTACCCCCCAAATTCTTTAGAATTTATTTATCTGTGAGAGCGGGGTATTGCACGAAAATACAGCAAACAGCAGTGCTCATAGTTGACCGGAATCTACGGTTGTTTATCACTTTTCTTTGTAAATAGTGTCTGAGCCGTTTCGTTCTTTAATTTAATGAATAATATCTGTACGTACACGCCCAATCAGCCGTCGTTCCGTTTGTTGGTATGTCTGTATGCTTTATAGATCATTATTTAAATGTAACGGTATTTAGTATATTAAACTCCATTAGTTAATGAACGTCTTGCCGGTCATATGAAACTTCGCAAATAAACTTATTTGAAAAGTTTTATAAGAGCGAAATGGATAGCAACAGCTAATAAATTGGTCATATAATTAAACTTTAATTTAATTGAATTTCCAAAATAGATTAATAGACCATATTTACAGAACGGATAATAAGCAGTAAATATTTTCTTATTTAGGTTGCGAAAACACAACGATTTTATAAACAAAAAAATATTTATACGATACACGATATTATTATAATTATAAGAATTTATTTTCATTGAATTGCAATGTGTTTTATGGATTTTTCGAAATTATTATTTTATGCAGTCTCTTTCAACGCATTTTATTTCAGAAACGCGGTCTGGGTGCAGTCGGCATTTGGAGTCAAGCTCATGACTTTTACGAAAATCATAAGCATCATTAGATTAGGACAATAAACATTTATATATATTTGTATGAATTATTTTTTGAAAATATATTTACAGAAAATGCGTAATTTGTTTTTGAATGGAGAAACAATATCTCAGCTGGACACAGGACACACCTCATTATACACATTATAATCAATAAAATAGTGTGTTTATAACTTTTAACACGACATATTTCAAATGTGTACACAGTCTTTAAAAATCACATAGTATCGTATCGAATAGAAATATCTAAGTTGCAAGTCTACTCGAGTGAACAGAAATATGAATATCCTAACGTGAATCCAGACATATTTCACAACTTGTAGAAAGAAGATACTTTGAAATGTTGCCAACTAGCCATGTGATTTTTTTATTTATTTACATTTATGATTAGCTGTACGTATTTCAAAGTCAATTTAAACTAGATACAATGTACACTCGGCATCAAAAAAATCGCACCTTTCCTAAAATTCGTGTCAAGCGATTATAACTCCGAAGATCCTTCCTGTACCCTATCATTATTAGTATCATTTGAAAGCTAATGAAATCCCTTATTTGAAAACGGTAGAAAATTGGCCACCACCCCCATAAAAAAAGAAAATTCTGGGAAAATGTGAAACAATGTGTATTCTGATCAAAATTACAAAGAAAAGGAACAATACAAAAATTAAAAATAAATAATGACAATCCTTAAAAATTAGTCTTAAAACCTAGTGTTGCCTCCTCTAGCCCTCCGACCAACTTCTAAGCGGTCAGTCATGGACCTGATGAGCGTCACGACGTGTTCCTGGGGAATGTTGTCCCACTCCTCGATGACGGCATCTCGAAGCTCATCGAGAGTGGCAGGAGCTGGATTACGGCCCGTTTCAGCTCGTCCCAGAGGTGCTCGATAGGATTGAGGTCGGGGCTTCTTGCTGGCCAGTCCATAACCTTGATGCCAACTCGACGTAGGTAGTCCTTGACAATCAAGGCTGTGTGGCACCGGGCGTAGTCGTGCATGAACTCGGAGTTGGCACCGACAAAACCTGCACATGGGACCACATGCTCCTCCGAAATCTTGGTGATATACCGGTGGGCAGTCAGAGACCCCTGGCCGCGACCATCTCCAGCTCTGGAGACAGATGGAGGTCTGTCTTGCCGTCGATAGAAATGCCGCCCTAGAACATGCAGGATCCTCCTCCATACCCGACGGTTTCCACGGTGCAGGCTGGTGTGAAACGCTCCCCTGGTCGCCTGTAGACCCTCTTACGCATGTTGTTGGTGTACAGGCACACTCGGGTTTCGTCGGAGAACAGGACATTCCTCCACTGGTCGAATGTCCACGGCACGTGCATTTCGTAAAATCGCTTCGTTTTCGTCCGGTGGATGGCAGTCAATTGGGGGCCTGTAGCAGCTCTCCGGGGCAGCAAATTCTTCTCTCACAGCCTTCTTCTGATAGTGGAGACGCTGTCAGCTGTCCTTCGAGTAGCTCAAAGCCGCTGCTGCAGCTCCAAAGCGTTGGAGAAGCAGTTCCCCAAAGACGTCGACACAATGGAGCGATCACCTCTGACGGTAGTGCAGCGACGTCTCCCGGATTCATGTCTCCTGATGTAACCTCCAGTCTCTTGGAACCGTTGGTATACCCGTTGCACTCGAAATCGGCTGATTTTCAGTTGCCGAGCAACTTCAACCTGCCGTAGTCCGATTTGCAGTAGGGCCACCATTTGGGCTGCTTCTTCTGCCATGGTATCCATTTTCACTGGGTTTTTTTTATCGAAGCTCTTCAGGTGTAACCTCTGTGACGTCTGGATAGCGAATAACCCATAATTGACTTTTACCCCCTCGTTTTATACGCGTCCAGGCTCGTACAATTAGGGAGCCTCCAAACGCGTACATCGCCACTTTTTAATCAAAGTGCTGGCGATTTGTGGTTTTTGATTTTCCGTAAACAAATGATTATTTTTTTGAAAGCTTATTAATTGAGCTTTTAAATGATACTAATAAGGATAGGGTACAGGAAGGATCTTAGAAGTTATAATCGCTTGACACGAATTTTAAGAAAGGTGCGATTTTTTTGACGCCAAGTGTATGTATTATATATTTCCGTATTCGGAAAAAATAATTTAAATTTTATTAAAAGCATCCATGTCACATATGATATGATGGTCACATTTTTGCTCCTTACAGATCTTTATAGGCAAGTAATTGGTCATGGTGACGGCTTTAGTAGATTTTTGCTGGAAATGTATATTAAATTACCTAATAACTAACAGTAAATAATATAAATAGACTAACACAGGGTGATAGTCGTGTATAGTAACTTCATAAGACAAAAGGTTAGTTTAAAAAAATTAATTACACAATATCCAATATATCTTCAGGTATAGAAGTCCCAAAACTGTCCAACTCACGCTGCAAGAGTTGGACTATGTTCTGATGCTTAGCTTCCTCATGTTCAAGTTCAGATATTGTTTCTTTCATCTTCTCCGTTTCGATTTTTATGGCTTCCTCATTCTATAATAGTACATGTTCTAGAGGTTTTCACGTTAACATAATACTAATATGCAATGGTAAAATAATAAATAATATTAAGATGATGTTCTGCCTATGAATATTTTATCCTACTCATTATGATACAATTTATAGTAATAATTTCAAAATATATTTAGTAAATAGTATTTAGTGAATAAATAGCAATGAACTATTTTGGATTTCATTTAATATCAGAATAATGGAATTAGAATCTTTCAGTACCTAAATAAGAATGATTAATCTAATACTTACACCGAATACCGGGTTCTTTCTGTATCTTTCTGCAATCTCAAAGAGGTGATCCTCATACTGACGTCTGAAAACCGAGTTTAAATTGGGAATTTACTCTGCAATGTTTTACGATAAAATTTGTTTATTAAATACATTTTTCTTATAGCAAGATATTATAAATATATGTAGTTAATTAGCACTTTCTCAAATCGCGAAATGCAACGTGGTCCAATCCTATATTTATCTTGGCGCTATGATTTCAAGCAATGGCGGATGCATCGATGAGGTCAAACGACGTATGGGCATCACAAGAACGGCAATGGACAAAATGCAAAAAATATGGAGAAACAGGAATATAACAAAAGCCACCAAGACCAGTCTTGTGAAGACACTTATATTCTCCATATTTCTGTACGCAGCTGAAACGTGGACCTTGCGAGATGTGGAAAGGCAGAAAATAGACGCTCTGGAAATGTGGTGCTGGAGGAGAATGCTTGGGGTTTCGTGGATCGAGTTTCGTACAAACGTTTCGATACTTCAAGAACTCGGTATTAAACGGCGTCTGTTCTCAACAGTACAATCTCGCATCCTTACATTCTTCGGACAAGTATCTCGGCGTAGTGATCAGTCCATAGAACGCCTTGTCGTCCAGGGGAAGGTGGAAGGCACTAGACCGCGCGGAAGGTCACCTACGCGTTGGACTGACCAAATCAAGTCTGCCGTAGGAGATTCACTTAATCAGTGCAGCAGGATGAGCTCTAATAGGCAACGATGGCGAAACGTCGTGAAACGCAACACATCTGCTTCTATTACCACTACTTCATAGCGATCACGACCGCTCTGTCAAGAGTGTACCGGATAGGAAGAAGAATTAGCAAAAAAAAACGAGTAGAATCAGAAGTATTAGTTAATATAAATATATGAATGATCTTTCACAATGTTAGCGACACTTACAACATAATTTCCGAGTTAGTTAGTTCTTCTTTTATCTGTTGAAAAATCAGATCTCGGTTTTCTTTTGTGCGGTCCAGACAAGTTGTAGCCTCTTCACACTGTTGCATAATTATGATCCTTTTGGCCGAGAGACGGACTTAAATATAGGAGGCAAAATGAATTAAATATGAATATCACAAGAAATATGTATAAAACATTGATTTTGTTAAAAACAAATTATTGTTGAAATCATTAAAATAATATACGCGTCATATTGCAGCCTATCATAATGTAATAATTAGCATTCATTAAATAGCATTGATTTTGATATAATTATTTAGTTAATTGTAACGTAATTTAAGCATCCCCTGTAAGGGTACTGTGTAATATAATTATAAGACATTGAATACAAAATAACTTGTTTATGGTAGACTTAAACAAGTTTCACGTGAAAGCGACAGTGTAAACACTGCTTATGGGTCACATATATCTGCTTTATGTGTATCGAGAACTAATTTAATTGAATTTTAAGCATCATTATGAAGAATATTTTAAAATTAAAATAGCATTTTTCCATATGTAAGGACTAAGTGTCCAAACGTTAAATAAAAACGTATATATTACAGCGTAGTACAATCTATAAGGAACTGAAACTATATAATATGCTCCACATGATATCATCATCATTAAAATAAAATAATATGTTTCATAATTTTAATCCAGCTAAGTTTAGTCTACGTAAAAAGTAATTTAGATCTGTCTCATCACTAATTACTAATACTAGCTTATGTACTATTATTCTAATATGTTCCTAAGGTGAGAAATACTCATTGTAATAACCACCACATAAGAGGAATATTTTAATGCTTTGGTACGACGGTCAGTAAAGGAAATAAAATTATATTTATTTTGTAATATACAAATACTGTAAACTTCCTATTTCATGTTGCATTCATAACTTTACAACGACTTGCGATATTACGTACTTTAGTATCACTTTAGAAAATGGAACGCCTCCGCAATAAAATGCAAATTTATATACGTTATCCATAATAATTGTTTTTTGTTTACTAGGCTACCTGACCTGCGTAAATTCGTTATAACGTATAATAAGCCAATTAGTCTAAGTCGTCAATATATACAAATTAACAAAAAAAAAATCGATTTTAACCCGTAGTTCCCGAGTATTTTGTATGTATGTTGTCCATTAGTATGTTAAACAAAAAAACTAATACTACAGCTTCCACAATTATATAAGACGACATTGTTCAAAGTAAAGATAAGTGGTGGGAGGGTTTGTGGAAAAGTCTAAGCGAAAAGAGAAACGGTGCAGCAGTTACGCGAACTGTCTTATTTTTTGCTTCGTGTCATTTTATTTATTCACAAAAACATAATATTGATTATGAATTCAACTATAATGACGTAACAATGTTGTAGAAAAGTAGCACTAATGGTTAGCCTCCAGCCTGTTTTTATATAAAAATAGAGCGAAAATAAACGTAGAAACCCGCATCATAAGCCGGAATATTATGAATTTATTCAGAGGCTTACGAAATATAGCGTAGAATGTAGGTAATTGTTCTATACTCAAATAAAAATATAATTTTTGTCCAGTTTTCAAATCAACTATATCTTTAGTAGTTCAGGGAAACAAGATTTACACATTTTAATATTGTACCTAGTTAAAGAAAATGGCGACAATTCAGAGTCACTCCCCCTGAATAGTCGCCTTAGAAAATAAATGACAAAATAATCTGTTTCACTATAAAACAGCTATTTCACACTTGATCGGTTTTATATAGCGTAAGAAGATGAAATAACTTTCATATTTCTTGTCATTTTCTGGTTAATAAACCGAAACCTTCTGAGCTCGACAACATATTATTAAAGAAGCTACGAAAACATAACATTTCATATGTCCAATTCTATATATGCCTAAAATAACTCTTTTATCTTTAACTCACTAAAACAGAGTTTTTTTATATTCTTAAATAAAAAGTCTCTACAGATACATATTTGCTCGGCTGCTATTTTATCGTACTTTAACATAATTATTATTGGATTAAAAAACAGCTAAGTCACCAGCCCTGCGATTCACCCGCATTCTGATGCCTCTCAACCCTCTTATGATTTGGCACAAGATGGGAGCTTGTAGAGATAGAATGCCTAACCATTTAAGAGTTAAATTACCATGTATCTACAATAAAATCGGTAAAGTATTTATTAAATTTTACCTACTAACCTATTTACTACATTAAAGTATGATAATAAATGCGTACATTTTTTATAAGTAATCAATAAAACATACCGTTTTCTAGTTTCAAACTCTCAACTTTAGCATTTAAGGCATGCGATTCTCGTAAAACTTTTTTGTTCTCTTCACTCAGTTGCTCACTCTCTTCTTCAATGGAAAGGAGAACGTCAGTCTAAAATAACCATTTTACTTTAGAAACAAAATACGAAATAATAATTACTTATTTAAAACAATCAATGCGTACGTATAAAATTAAAAATGATTGTTCTCGGTTTGCGTACCTGCGACAGTAACGTATTTTTAGTTTCATCCAAGCCCGCTTTTAGCATGTATATTTTAAGTTGTGGTTCCTCCGGAGAAAGCATTTTAATTAATTTTTATATAATGCAACGTGCTAATGATTTAACAATTCAATTGTCTTTAACTGCGTTCGATTTAAATGTTTTAGTTTGACAAATGACGATCAAACATGGCCGTCGGATCTTTCCCGCCTTTTCTGTAATAATTGAGTAGAAGTGTCTATAGTTTTCTTTTTTGAAGATTATATGCCCTGGTATTGTCTGTAATAAATTGTACCCATAGACAAAAATTATGAAATATAAATACTCTCAAATAAAGTCATATGCCCTGTCACAAAATTAAAAAAATACTAATGGCGGTCGCGGGAGTATTGACAATAAATTTTCTTGAAATTTACAATAATTAGATAAATATTTTACTATGTTGCATATAGTGAAATAACCTAATAATCAAGTAAATCAATATTATTAAGTAGAAATGTATTCATATGTATTTGTTATTTTAAAATTAATTAGTAATAAATACAATAAATATAAATTATAAACTTCTACGTGAAAGCTATAAACTTTGAGCAGAGCCAATAAATTGGGCAACTATTAAATACAGATTATGTTCGTAGTTTTAGTTTGCATCAGACACAGTTTGCAGTTTAATGAATAATGAAACTATAAGTGCCCAAGTTACACAGACTATACGATGCAAAAGCTGGTCTCGGGGCATATTACGATTGGTAACTTCAAAAAGTCAGTATAGTTTTACTTGAAACTGGCATAAAGTTAAAACTATTGCCATAATGTAAAAAAAATATAAAAAATCAGTAAAGACGTACTGTAGCGCTTATATCTGTTTAAAACGTACTGGTGATGATGATGGTGACTGATGACGCGCAAAACTAAGATTACTGATGCTACGATAGTTTACGATTTTTGTAGAACTTGGACGTAATTTGGACGTACGTATCTTGAGATTTTTTAATAATAAATGTTTAAAAAAAAAAAACAGCAAAAAATACACATGAAAATCTTACTTGCTTTTTAGGTTAGTAAACCTTACACTACGCTGGGAGTTAATTTCTTTTCTTTACCAAAGAGGATGTGAGAAAATATATGGAGAAGTGGGAAAACAATGACTTTGTTTAGCAATAACAATATGTACTTATGTTTTCTGTTTCTTATATCTTGTTTATCAATGTAATTTGTTTATATGTATATTATCTAAGTGTTTTGTTTTATGATATAAATATGTGTTAGCTATAAGATTACTAATAAATAAATATTGGCCACGGTCGTATATAATATACTTTAACGTCCTCTCAGGATAGACAGGATAGACATGAGGCGAGATTTTACATTATCATCATTGTACGGAGGGCCACTGTGTGTGTTCACCTTCGACAATGTCAAGTATCACATTTAACAACAATTAAAGATTTGTGTATTGACAGGATGAATGAACAGGATCCATTAAAACTAAATTACTCTGATTTTACTCATTTTTACTTTGTGTAATGTCAGTAACGATCAAGGAAATATGGTGGGAGAAACTATGTAGCAGTCTTAAATACTCAAAAACTAATAAACGGGTAACCTAGCATCAATTGTATTCATAATATATATGTACGGCCAAACGTTAACTTATATTTCAATCAAAATAAAGTGGTAATTATCTTAGTTATTTTAACCTACCTTAAACCCGGCGGTGCGTGCTGTGTGTGTGTAACAGTTTTACATGAATTTATATAGTATTGTTGAATTGGGATATTGAATAATAATGATGCTTTTAGGCTTTCATGTGATAAGTCCGTGAGTATATGTATGTTTGTACACAAATTCCTTGGATTTCAATTCTTCCGGCTAGAATATTATAGAGCCCCGGGAGGTTTCTAAATAATGTATAATCTACGTCGTTGCAAATCTCTCAGGGAACTATTTAAAAGATTAATATTATGACAGTACCTTGCCAATTCATTTATGAAAATATTATGTATGTAAGAAAGAATCTACATCTTTTTAGTAAAATAAATGAAAGACATAATTTTAGTACTAGAAATAAAGATAAAAATAGCTCAACCATCTTTCAGATTAGCCAAAGTTCAAAAATTCATTTATGGGGTACTGTGTGAAATGTTACAATAAAATACCTTGTGACATTTTAAAACTAAATGAACGAAAATTTAAATGTTTTATTAAAAGTACACTTTGTAAACAAGCATATTACAAATTAGATGATTATATTCAAGATAAGAATGCTTGGAAACATGCTGGTCCTGCTCCATAGGACAATCCTATGATTGGCTCTATAGCCTGGACAAAATCAAATTGGTTGCTGATTTTTTGCTAAAAAAAAAAATATGTTAATTTTTGTTATTATTATTATTATTTTTTTAATTTATATACCTAATGCTACAAATGTAATTATTTTTTTTTTTTTGTATCTCACACACTGTTTTGTTGTGTTTTTTTTAATATTTTTATTACTCTTTAATGTTAATATTCTAAGGTTTCGATATTTGTAAATATGTGAGGGACATGTATACTAACTTTTTAGTATAGTAGTTTTATTCTAAGAGTACATTGTCTTCACATATAATTATTTAACAAATGTAACAAAATATTGTAAACCTATTTTAAAAGAGTAAGTGTGGAGTTTCTTGCCCATTCTTCTCCACACGAAACTACCTTTTGGAAGGGCAACTAAATCATCTTTATATATTTTTTTTTTTTTTGACGTTCAAAAGTGCCATTTTAGATGGTCTAATTGAAATAAACGATTTGACTTTGACTTTTGACTTTGACTTAGAATGTAATTTTACTAGTCGCGATGAAAAGATATAAAATGCTTTTGTTTATAGGACACCGAAGGCTGGGTCTTTGCAAAGTAAAACTGACAATAAAATACCTAGTTGTGTTGATTTATTCGAACTAATAGGTACGTTTCAAAAACTACCGAAACTTGGACTGTTCCCTTAGTATATAATTGAACAAGATTTGTGGACACATAGACATACACTTACGAAATTTAGCTGACGTGCTTGAAATAAGAAGAGGACCATTAAACGATGTGCACAAACGTGAGACCGGCAAATGTTATCCTTACTTAAGACTAATAAAAATTAAACCATAAAAAATGACTAAACTAGTAAAATAGATAAATTTACCAAAATTAGAAAATTAATATTCAACAAAATACGCTCATAATGAAACGGAATTTGCATATTTTTAATAAAGAAGATATAAAGCACAATGTGTTGCTTCAAAGTTATGTTTTGTGCGTTATTATTACCTAGATTACGTCAGGCGCTTTGTTTCATGGTTCTAATGGGACATGTGTTTGATTTCTAGGGTAAAACATATTTTGAAAGGTAAAGGGGTGATATTGCGCAAAAAATATCAGTAGGCGCAGATGAATAACTCCAATCTGTATGATGATTGGATAATTTATTAATATGTATGTCTTCATCTTTATTATTTATTTATGACGTTGTGGCGCATGTGTAAAACGTGTATATAGCGTTTAAGATGTCATTATGTTGAAGTTGTCCCCTCTCGACAAAAAAGGCTTCGTCACGTTTTAACGGATCCGGATGATCCAATCACCGTAGCCAATGACAGATTAAAAGCCGCTCGCACGGCTGAGCAAAATCAGTCTAGGGTGAAAATGCGCCTTGACCGGCAATACGTTGACTTTTACTTCGAACTTCACACTTCAGTGAGTATCCGTATTCAGGCGATTGACCATCCCGCGAGGGACCAAGCCGAGGTCCGAGTCTCGCACCGTCTGAGACGTCTTTGCGCTGGTCGCTAGATAAAGCCCATTCCGGCCAAGCTGAGCTGTAAAGTCCCTTGCCCTCAACAGCGAAATTCTATAAAAAAGCAAAATTAAATATGATCCTATACAAAAAAAATTAGTAAATTGTGGTGTGTCAGCCGTACGTTAGGGTAATTTTTAAAAAGTATCTATGTATTTTTTAATTCGACTAATTATAAATTAAAGTAACAAGCTTGATCTTTAAAATAATGTTTAACTGATCTTTTGATATCTTTAAATGATGAAATAATACATAAACTATCTCACTTTACGTTTTAAGCACTTTGAAATTCTTTTTCAAGCGCTATCGGTGAATGTCAAACACATTTCAAGTGTGTATCTATAATTGAAATCGCCATTTTCAGATGCACCTACAAATTGAAATAGATGCGGACTTTTTAATTGAAAACTACATGTATGGTGAAGTTTTAAAACGTAGCGCCCGTAATAAATAATAATTATTACATTTTCTAACGAAATACCTACATAACCATTTAAGCTAAACGCTTATTTGAACTTATCAGAGCTTTTTGTCTACGTACTCCGTAGCACATCTTAGTCGACCTACGTATATAACAAACGTAGACAATTAGTCATATTAAATCATTAATGTGCTTACATTATGAAATTAAAACTTCTGCTTTTATTTCATTTAATATTTATACATAGCTTATTTCTTGCTTTTGGTAAACAGATATATTTTATGAAAAAAACTTACTAAAAAGGAAAATCAGTATGGTATAAGGAAACGCGTTTATTTAATTAATTATATCAACTGACAGTTTTTACTTAAATAGGTTCGAAAATCTTACACATTATAATGAATTATTGTCAAATGAATAAACACATTTATATTTTTTATTTATTTATTTCGATTAAAATAAACCGGTTACACTGAACATGGGAAACATGAGAAATATCAAAATATTCACAATGTATGAAATTATTAAAATAGTTTTTAAAATTATTGACGACTATTTGGTCTAGTGGTTAGTACCCCCTGACTGCGAATCCATGGGTCCCGGGTTCGATCTCCGGCTGAGTCGATGTGATGAGCATTTGGTGTTGTGCTTAGGTCTTGGGTGTTTAAATATGTATTTATATGTCTATCTATCTATAATATGTATGTATATCCGTTGCCTAGTACCCATAACACAAGCTTCACCAGCTTAGCATGGGACTAGGTCAATTGGTGTGAATTGTCTTTAAAAAAAAAAAGTAGTGAAACACACTTTTTAACAATACAGCCTAACGAGAT